TCATTACAGCGTGTTTATTTAAAGAAAGGGGAGATCCAACAGGGAAGAGAAAACTGATGATGAAAAAGAGAGGAGTATGGCCAAGTCTTCAAGTAGGCAAGAAAAGATGGGTTCAAAAGTTGCTAGGACTCAGAAGTGCTCACTAAATGTTGGCTATTATTTCTGATTTCGTACATTTTTGAAAAATGAACAGCCATCAGGTTTACAAAAGATAAATTATTTAAACACATGCAAGAGCTTGGACTCGAGCAGCAGACTGCATTAGTGCAAATTCTAGTTCTACCACTTGGCCAAGACTCTTTTCTTCTGGGGGCTTTGTTTTCCTCTGTAGAAAAGAGGATATTAATACCTACCTCCTAAGGCTGTGTGCGGGCTTAGATGAGACAATCCGTGTAAAATTTTGCACTGTACTGGCACGTGGGGAAGGCTCAAGTGTTAACGGCATCACAATAACTGTCGTTCTGTCTCAAAAGTAACTTGATTCTGTCCTGTGATGCTTTTAGGCAATGTCACACTGATTCTGATTCCTGGAACCATCAGACAGGCACCAGGGGGCGGGGTCCTCAGAGCGCACACCGGCCAATCCGCTGGCAGGGTGTACGAGGCTGGCACTCCTCGGTATTCCCCCACCGCCTCGCCTTCTAGGGACACTGTCTCTCAAGAAGGTGCTGTCATTAAAAGGAAAAAAACCAGAAAACTAACCCTGAGTAAAGCTGACGAGACGGAGGGCCACGTCTGCGCCTGCGCCAAGCCCACGGCTCTCCACTAGCACCTGCACTGTCGCTGTAAGGGCGGGGCACTCTGTTGGGCGTCCTTCCGGGTTTTTCCTTTACGCGCCGTTTGGGCGGAACGTCTCGTGAGAAGTCCGAGTTCTCGCGGGAACTGCATTCAAAAAGCCCTGGCGCCTCCCTGGGAGCTGGCTGAGTTCTCTGGCCGGCTTGTCTGTGGTGAGTTGGCCTTCTCTTCACGAACCTGGGCGCCGCGAGCTCTCGTCACGAGCCGCCGCCTGAAGCAACGGGGGAAGGGGGTGAGGAGAGAGGTAGGGGCACGGGGCCTGGAGGGAGGAGCGGTGGGGAGGAGAGAGCAGGGCCTGGGTCTCGGCCGAGGCCTTGAGCCAGAACGGCTTCTTCGGCGGACTCTTTGAGTCCCGGTAGACAGCTTCCGAGCCGGTCTCAGAGTTCCGTGGGGCCGCCTCGCCGCCGGGCGTCCGCGTGCGTACGGGAGGCCGGCTCGGTGCCGGAGAGAGAACGGACGCTGCGTCTGCGCCGTCCGGTCCGTAGCCGCCAGCCACGGGCGGCCGTGCGAACGGGAAATGCTGTTAATGTCGAATACACGCCCCGTTTCGAAGACTAAACGGTGATAGCTCGTTAATACTTTTTATAATGATCGCATGTTGGAATGATTAGTTTGGATTTACTGGGTTAAATAAAACATGATTAAAATGAATTTCAACTCCGTTTACTTTTGTTTTGATGTGGCTCCTTGAAAATGAAAAATCACGGATGTAGCTCGCATCGCATTTCTGTTGGACGGCGCTGCCCCCACAGCTGCGTGTGTGGTCTTCCCTCATTGCTGCGCACCATTAGCTGGTTTCATCCTTCAAAGACCCCGTTAGGTGGATGTGCTTGTCCTTGTGTTAGGGGTGACAAAACAAGACGTTCAGTAAGCTGTCCGAGTTCACGCAGCAGTGAGTGGTGCAGGTGGGGTGAGAACTCGGGCAGCCTGATTCCCACTGCTCCCTGTCTCCTGAATGCTATGCCTTGTGCCTGCTATGTTTCTGAGAGGCAGGACGGAAGAGTGGTTAGGGCACCAGGCTTTGGAGCTGGACCCTAGTGCCCATCTCACTTAGCCACTTACTAGCTGATAACTCTTGGGCAAGTCACTTAACCTTTCTGTGCCTCAGTTTGCCCGTGTGTAAAATACCTTATATTTCATGGGGTTGTTGAGAGGATTAAATAAGATAATATCTGCAAAGCACCAAGCACGATGTCTGGCACATATTAGCTGTAGTTGTTATTCAACCCTGGCTACCTCCCTTTGCAGATTGGTAGGTTAACTCTTACTCATCCATTAGACCTCTGCTGAAAAGTCACTTCCTCGGGAAAATCTTTCTTGTCCATAATGCCCCCTACGCTGCCCCCACCCCACTACCCAGATTAGGAGAGCTCCCCTCCGTGGTATAGGCTCAGACAGCACCATACATCTCTCCCTCTTGCACTTATCACACTTGTGATTTTACAGTTTGGTTATTTGATTTAATGCCTGTCCACTAATAGACTGGAAGATTCACGAAGGCAGGGATATTGTCTAGTTTGGGGGTCACCATTGTGTCCTCAGCAGTAGCACAGTACCTGACATATAATAGGAATTCCAGCAAATCTCTGGAATGAATGAGAGCTAATATTTTGGCTTCCTTGAACATTGCTGGCTGGGCTGTCTTGAGGCTAACTCCATTTTTTCTTTGGTAAATGTTGATGACAGTAGTATGTAACTCAGGCCCATCAAGAGAATTAAATGAGATAATGCATTTGAAGCACTCTGCCTCGCAAATGGTAAATCCTCAAGAAATATAAATTATTAACAGTGCAACAATTAGGGCCTGGCCTCATCATGTGCAGGCTTTGGAAAGGACTTGCATTTTAGAGCAGTAACTGCCAGCCCTGGATAACATCAGACACCTTCTTTTTTCTCTTCTAAAACCCTGTATCTCCTCCATCTTTATCCTCCGTTGAAGACTTTGCTTCCTAATTCACTGATAAATTGAAGCAGTTAGAAGGGCACTTATGCAGATTCCCACCACCATATCTACCTGCTTATCAGTGTCTGTACCCATATACTCTGCTTTCCCTTACTCTAGACGAAATATTCATGTTCCTGTCTAAAATCAGTTCCTGTACCTTAGTCCTCACTCCTTTGTCACTCCAGTAGTTCTCCGTGTTTTCTATATCATCAGTATTCCTTCGCTTGGATCTATCCCATGGTATACAAGCATGCTGTTATTTTTTCTTAATTTTTTTATTTTAATTATTTTTTTCTTAAAATTTTTTATCTAAAAAAAAATAACTTGACCCTGCTTCTCTTCCAGCTGCTGCCCCGGTTATCTGCTCTCTTTTGCACCAAAACTGTGCTTGCTGACTCCTAGTCTTCTCCCAACATTTTCTCTCCAACCCATTCCAGTCAGGCTTTTGCCCCATCTCTCCACCAAAACTGCTCTTAGGGCCACCAGTGACCTCCATGAATTCAAATCCAATGGCCAATTCTCAGTTCTCACCTTATTTGACTTAGCATTTGGCACAATTGATCACTTCTACCTCCTTAATACACTTTTGTTTATTGGCTTCCAGGACAACACATGCTCTTGGTTTTCCTCCTACCTCACGGGCCATGGCTGAGTATACTTGGCTGTCTTCTTTCCCATCTCTTAACAGGGCTCGATCCTTGGTCCTTTTCTCTTTAATTATGCTCATGTCCTGGTGATATCATGGCTCAAGGATTTCTGCTAATAACTCCCAAATTTATGTCTCCAGCCCAAACCCCTCTCTTACTCATATAGCCAACTGCTTACTTGACATATTTCATGTCCAAAACTTAATCCCCTGATTTTCTGTCCAAAATAGCTTTTACTCACAGTTTTCAGTGCCTCAGCTGATCGCAAATGTATTCTAGTTGCTCAGGCCAGAAGCCTTGGAGGCATTTTTGACTTCTTTCTTTCTCACACCTCCCATATTCTGTTTGTCTGAAAATCATATGGGTTTTACCTTTAAAATATATGCAGAATCTGACCATTTCTCACCCTCCTATGCAACCACCATAACGTGAGTGATGATCTCACCCTTCCTTCTGCCTTAGTGTTACCCCTATGCCTGGAACATTCTTTCCCTAAATAGGTACTACATGGGTAATTTTCTTATCCTCTGCAAGACTTTACTGAGAAGTCACCTGAGGGCCTGCCCCACAACACTTATTTTAAATTTCATCCTAGTTACCATACCTCCACCTCTTAAGCTCCCTTATCATATTCTATTTTTTTTCCATTTCCACTTTATAATGCATTTAATATTACACTGTTATTGCTTGTCTTCTCCCACTGCAAGGAAAGTTTCATGAAAGAAGAGCCCTTTTTTTGGTCAATTTGACCTCTGATGTATCTGAAGTTCCTAGAATGGAGCCCAGCACATAAGGCATTCAAGAAATATTTGTTGAATGAATGACTACATTGATTGGAGACATGGAGGAACACCTTAATAATGGTCTGTTGCTCTTTGAAGGCAAAGCTGAGTTCAAGTTTGGCCTAAGAGGCTGGAACCAATTTGGAAAGGATGACGAGTGAGGTTAAGTTAAAATGGAATGTTTCTATATATAAAGTTTAAGTCTTTGCTTGAAAATCTATAATGAGAGCAATGTTCTTTAATTACTTTGAATGTGGTTTCTGTTTTGCATGCCCTCTTATAAATTAGGAAAATACTAGTGAGTCTCTTTTCAATAAGGCAAATTTAATGTGTTTAGGAAGTTAACGCTGTTGTGAAAAATTGTGGACGTGGTAGTCCTTGCCTTACCTTATGAACCTTATTCAAAGCTGTCTTTTTATTTAAGCAGCAGTCATGCTGCTTAAAGTTTCTTGATTTCTTTCATGGTTCTCTTAACTTAATTATCTGTATAATGGTATATTTATGAGACCCGCTGTACCTTAGCATTTAAGAAAGCTTAGCACATAACAACTTAATAGTTTCCTGATACTGCATTTCTTAGAAGCAAAATTGAATGTATTCATGTTTTTTTGCTCTGTTTGATTTGGTCTCAAATCAGGTAACAAAATCATCAGACCTTGCTCTTAGAACAAGAGTGCAAATTTGACCATTTAAGAATCAGGAAGAAAATCTTTAATACCAGTGTTTGTATATGGCAGTAGTATTGAGTTTATATATATATATCATTGATATAATTGTATGGAGTTTTTTTGTTTAAGCTTAAGTACTTTTATTTCCTCTATTTATGGTAGACTAAAAACAAGAAAAAATCATGGAGGCAGATATAATTGCAGATCTTCGATGCAAACTCAAAGAGGTTGAAGAAGAGCGACTAAAAGCTGCACAGTATGGTTTACAACTAGTGGAGAGCCAGAATGAATTGCAGAATCAATTGGATACATGTCGTAATGAAATGATGACCATGACTGAGGTAGGACTCTAGACTCCTCTGTTTACAAGAGTGTGCTTAGCTATTGAAGATTTGTGTTGTCTAGCAATTATCATTAATATTTTTATTCTTTTCTGAGGATTTTAGATCTCGTTCCCACCCCCACCATCCCCAATAAAGGAGAATGTACTAAATGAATTCCTAATAATTCTTATCCAGTATGTTCTGAGTTTGAAAAATCAAGTTATGATCACACTCTTTACCACAGATTGGATTTTAGATTTTGTTTTATCTGCACTCTTCCTAGGTGACCTTACTTGTTTCATAGCTTTAGATAACATCTAAATGCCCCATGACACTATGCCAAGTTCTTAGTTCTCCCTTAAAGTCTAGGCTTGTCTATTCAATTGTCCACTAATGGACATCTCAAACTTAACATAAGCAGACAGAATAGTTGATTTCCTGCCCACTAATCAAACATTCCCTTGCAATTTTCTTTAGCTTACTTAGGAAATGTAGTAACATTCGTCTAGTTGCTTGAGCCAAAAATCTAGGAGCTTTACTCAATGTCTTTCTGTCCCTTATTTCGAATATTTAATCCATTAGTAAGGTCTAAGAACTTGATCTACAGAACATCCGTCTGTGCTACTGCCACTCTAGTTCAGACCACCCTCATTGCTCCCCTAGACCACTGTTGTAGCCTTCTCACCAGGTTGACTTCTTCCCTCATTGCCATTCCTACCATTCATTCTTCACACAGCAGCCAAGTGGTCATTGAAGAATATGCAAAAGATCGTGTCACAGCCCTGATAAAAAAGTGGCTTTCAATTATATTTACAACAAAATCTGAGCTGCTTACCTGGGTTTGCAGAGATCCCTATGTGATCTGACCCCTACCAACTTTTTGACCTCATCTCAAACTACTTTCCCTCCTTCTCAGATGTACTTGTGCTGCGTTATGGGCTTCACGTGGGCTCCGCCTCCATCTGAGTTGTTCATCCCCACTGGCATGGGTTGAGTCCTCAACCTTCAGGTTTCTGTTGAATGTCACCTCAGCAGAGAGGCCTTCCCTGACTATGTTTGTGAAGTTACCGTCAATCACTCTCTTAATTCTCTGCAGTGCTAATTATCTCCAGATTATATGCTCTGTGAGAGAGAGAATTTTGTCTGTCTTTTTCATTGCTGTATCCCTAATGTCTGGAATACATTTATTAAGAGAATGACTAAATCAGTTTTATTTAGTAAATGCTCAGTAATATATTTAAACTTTGTTCTCAAAATTTAAATATAGCAGATAAAAATAACTGATGGTAACCCTTATTTTCTTATTTTTCCTTCTTTTATTTAATCTAATTTAGTTTGTCTTATTTTTTAAAGTTTATCGAAGGAGTTTGAACGCCCTTTTTTTCTTTCAACTTCCCTGTCAGTAAGCACACCCTCTTACATACTCCTTTTGTTTCAGCACTGTACTCGTTTGAGTAGTCATTTGTGCACATTTCTCAGATGACGACCTTCTGAGAGTAAGGGCTAATTCAGTATTTTGCTTTACACCTAGTCCACTATTTCTTCATTTTGTTCAGAGCTACAAATAGAGCATATCGTTATCAAACCAAGTAATTCTCAGTAGGAAGACTTAAGTGCTATTAAATCTTTTTTCTTTTTTTTCCTAGCAGAGATTACTTGACACGTTGATGTGCCATGGAGCACTTTTTGCTTCCTTGACAAGGCATAGAAGCAATTACCATATCCCTAGCATGGACTTGAATGTAGTCTCAGAATACCCCTCAGGGATTTTTTAAGACTGACTAGCTACAAAGTTACTCCAGATTTAACGAGTGGTTGTTATGTAGAAAGCAGCAAATGTGTGAAACAGGAATGAAACGCTTGAAGGTAGAACTGCTGATATGTGATAAGTATAAGTTATTTTTATGTAATTGAATTATAATTGAATCTGCTTTCAGAATTATGAGCAAGAAAAATATACTCTTCAGAGAGAAGTTGAGCTCAAGAGTCGAATGCTAGAAAGTTTGAGCTCAGAATGTGAAGCTATTAAACAACAACAAAAAATACACCTGGAGAAATTAGAAGAACAACTGAGCAGAAGCCATGGACAGGAAGTGAATGAACTAAAAAATAAGGTTTGGATATCTATGTATTTCAGTGCAAAAATGTTCCATGCTTATGCAGCAGTCTGTAACCTTTAGGTGATGAAGATTTTCTTAGTACCGTCTATGCAAAATAGCTGAGATCAAGGGCGCCATCATATTAATGTTGGGAGTCGGAATACTGAGAAACAAGAGTTTACCCAGGGGACTTGTGTAAATAACATTCTACTAATTAAATACAATTATTTAATTTTAGTAACTGGGTATTTGTTATGGAGTTTTAGTTAAGTGACCAGCATGACTTCCTTGCTTATAGTGTATAGTATGGCTTTCAGAAAGACTAGCCTCCTGGCTTTCACTGCAACTAGTGGTATACTTTGTAATTCCACAAAAGACACCAATAGTTCCTTGTTAATTAATGTGCATTAGAATTCATACTTTATAGTTTGTTTATTGAAGGTAAACTAATACATATGATCCACTTCTTAAAACAACTTCATAAGGGAAGTACCATTAATTATCTGCATATAACAGATGAGAAAACCAATGTTTAAACAGATAGAATAAGCTGGATGAAATTACAGAGCTAGAAATTATCAGTCGGGATTTGGACTGAGGCTCTCTGATTCCAAAGCCCGTGTCACTGTACTTAGTCTAATGACATGTTATACTGGCTCCATTTCAAGCATAAATACAAAATAAAAGATTGTTCAGTGATTGTCCTTTCCCTTTTGGCAGCCCTGTCTACCGAGTGTCTTCAGCTTACTTGTGAGGAATCCAGAACTTTTATTGTGGCTCCTCTGTATGAGTCCATACTTCCCAGAACTGTCTCTATCAGAACCTGCCTGACTTTTGTCCTGTTTTCTCAGAAGTCTGTTTTCCAATTTTCAGTGTTGTGTGTAGCATCTTTTAAGATTTTCTGTATCTGTATACCACTTGTTGTTACTTAATTTCTCATTAAATTGACTCTCTTTGTAAATGTTTTCTCATTTTAAGTAATGATATCAATGAAATTACATATTTGAGCTGGTTATATTTTTTCCTAATATGCAGTAAAACAAATGTAACTATCAAAATATACTTTTGTGTAATACTTAGAGTCATCTTGCATACCACTGGCAAGATGTAATAGCAATAGTAATCCAGCTTCTCTGAAACTTATCTGAGTTGAGACACCAATGACTGATAACATGTTCTTTTCTTTTTTTCTTTGGATGTTATTTTGATTTTAGCAATAGCTTTCATTACCTAAACAAAAAAGAGTAATGCAGGAAATATTCAGAGACTCACGCAAGGCCAGTTATAGAGATGGCTTTTTGGTGGAGCAAAGACAAAATCAGTCAAAAAAATATTTTCAGTTTTACTGATGTTCTAAAATTACTTGTGCCAAAAATTTGGAGTTTTATTTGATATCTTTCTTTCACTTATTTCTCACATTTAATCCATCAACGAGTCTAAGAACTTGACCTACAGAACATCCATCTACACTACTATCACTCTAATCCAGATCACCATCATCTCTGCTAGATCACTACTGTAGTCTTCTATCGAGGTAGCCTCTTTCCGTCATTGCTCTTCATAGCATTCGTTCTTCACACAGCAGCCAAAGTGGTCAGGAATCTAGACCTATTCTGATAACTTGTATGGATTATTTGTACGTTTATAAAACAAGGCGTGTCACTGTCTGTTAAAAGATACCTTGCCAGGGCCAGCCCGGTGGCATAGCGGGTAAGTTCGCATGTTCCGTTTTGGTGGCCCATGGTTCACCGGTTCAGATCCTGGGTGCAGACCTACTCACCACTCATCAAGCCATGCTGAGGTGGCATCCCACAAAGAAGAGCTACAACTCTACCACTATGATACACAACTATGTACTGGGGCTTTGGGGAGGAAAAAGAAAAAGAGGAAGAATGGCAACAGATGTTAGCGCAGGGTTAATCTTCCTCAAAAAAAATAAAGAAATAAAACACTCTAAAAAAAAAAGATACCTAGCCTTGGCCAAGTAGAAAATCCCAATAGTCTCATCATACAGTAAGTTTGGGTCAATCAGTGATGTTTTTCAGATAGATAGCCACCTTTTGACAAAGATCATTCAGCTGAAATTTTTATTTCACATCATGAAAATAGAAAAGGGAAAACAGGTCAATCTAGAGGCTCTTATTTTTTACATAGCAAACAAATATCAGGATATATTCTAAGAATGCTGAGACCTTATTGAAGATAATTCACTATAGATGATAATCATAACCCTGGACATTAAGTGAATGCTTTTTATTGATAACAGAAACCATTTAGTGAATGCTAGGCCTGGCACTGGATGTTTTACCCACCCAACCTCAATTGAGAGCCTCACAGTAACCAGTGATGGTAGGTACAGTCATTTATCAGTTTTACATATGAGGAATGAAACTGAGACAGGTTAAACTTAGGCCTGACCCTCAAACTTCACCTTCTGCTATAGTTTGTTCCCTTTAAGCTATATATTCTTAGTTTTCCAAGATTTAGAACTGTGTGACATTTTAGAAAGTAAATGTCAGGAAATGTTGGGAAAAGTTAGTTTTGTTCCACTTGACTGTTTTCCAAATAGTTATCCTGTAGGTACGAGAACAGTTTGTACTACAACTGCATATCCTGATGACCTTCAGTTACCTTTTGATTTGTAAGATTTTGAATTTTTTTTTACTTTAGTTAGAAAAACTGAAAGCAGAATTAGATGAAGCTAGGCTTAGTGAAAAGCAGTTGAAGCATAAAGTTGATCATCAGAAGGAACTCCTCGCTTGTAAATCAGAGGAAATGCGGATAATGTCTGAACGTGTGCACGAAAGCATGTCTTCAGACATGCTGGCTCTTCAAGTTGAGCTGACTGAAACGGAAAGTATGAAGGTAATTTTTATGACATGTGTGTTCTCAAATTTTCTTTCTTTTTTTCCTTGCATATTTTTTGTATGATTTTGTAATAATCCTTATGAGCTAGTTTTAAAGCTGAAATAGTTTTTGGCCTAACTTTGATTTAACTAATTAAAAAATGTTCTACAGAGTTTTTAGGTGCATTACTTCACGCATAATAAAGCTTTAGATTACATGATTATGTAAGGCAGAATTTACTGTAGATTAATGAAACCTCTGGAAGAATTTAGAGACATTTACTCTGATCCTAGTTTGTATTGTAAAAGCCCATTATAAACATTGGTCCCATGGAAGTTGATATGCATATGAATGCAGTTTTTTTCATTGAAGGCTAAGGTTAATTAAAAATTAAAACCTTAAATTCATAGGAAAGAAAAACAGTCTATAGAGCCTTTTATTTGGTTCCCTGCTGAAAAATTTAGTAATTTTTATATTTTGTTAAGCACCTTACAACCTTTGACTAGTTTTCGCTTTAGTTTTGGGTGTGAACCACTGCTGATAGATAAACTGAGCAGCTGCTAAATGAAGGATTATTCAAGCAAGTTTCCTCTTTTTTAATTCCTGTTGAATAGACCGCCCTCAAAGAAGAAGTGAATGAACTACAGTACAGACAAGAACAACTAGAACTTCTTAGTGCTAATTTAATGCGCCAGGTAGAGCGGCTTAAAGAAGAAAAAGAGGAGCGAGAAAAAGAAGCGGTTTCTTACTATAATGCCTTAGAGGTATTATGACCATAGTAACAACATCTTTTCCAATTATAAGTTGTTTTCTTTCTAATCTAACCTCTATTAGCTAAATTATTTTCTTTTGAATTTAGAAAGCTCGTGTAGCAAATCAAGATCTTCAGGTGCAATTAGACCAGGCGCTCCAGCAAGCCTTGGACCCCAATAGTAAAGGCAACTCTTTGTTTGCAGAGGTACTTACAAATATTCCATTGATTGAATTGACATTTCACTTACTACAAGAATAATTAAACATGTTAATATTTTCTAGGTGGAAGATCGAAGGGCAGCAATGGAACGTCAGCTTATCAGTATGAAAGTCAAGTATCAGTCACTAAAGAAGCAAAATGCGTTTAATAGAGAACAGATGCAAAGAATGAAGGTATTGAATTATCACCATCAAAGGTTTATTAAACCTATTTTGTATCAGCATTCCATGTACAAATATATCAAAGAAAGCATCTTTTTCTACAAGGAGTGTACTTATTTAGTTATTTCTGGAACTGCATGATTTTAGGAAAAAAAATCAATATTTTTAAATTGAGCAAAAGATCCATTTATGTTTTATTTTAAAAATTAATCCTTTGGTGAAGATTTAGTAGTAGTATATTTAGCATCCATTGATTGATTGATTTTTTTTTTTTTTAATAGTTACTCACTAGCCTTGCCAGAGAAGTATAAATCTTTCTTTGTGGAGTGGGGAAAAAAATTTAATTAAAAAGTTTTTATGTCCTACTGTTGGCTTGGTGTCATTTTGAGCACAGCCCTATGGTTCCTACTTTAAATAAAACTAGCTCTCTCTCTCTCTCTTTAAAACTATATTTAAACTAATTGACACTTTGTAGAACTCCAGAAATTTCTGAAGGAGGAAAAGAATGCTAGGTTTAGATTTTAGTTAATTTCTTTCCACTTGCTATGCAACTCCAAGTTTAGGTGGAGTCATAATTAGGTAAGTTGATGGCTGCTCTTAAAAAACAAATTTATATTTATATTGAAGATTGCCTCAATATCCTTAGATTGCCAGTTACCTTTGCTTTCCATCCTCGTCACTTGTGAATCTCATGTTTGTGAATGTGAGTAGCTTAATAATTTCCCCCACTTAATACTATTGAAGTTAACTGAAGTTTTGAGAAAGTCCATCAGACCCTTGATAAGAATGCGTATGATAAGTAGAGTACAGCGTCTGGCCAGGCTTTTTTTTACCAGTTAAGTGACGTGCTTCCAGACCACAGCCATGCAGTTCCGTTATGTTTCACAGAAGTACGAATACTTGTTACAGACTTCAGATACCACTCATAAGTAGTCAAAATAAGTACTCAAGAGTTATGTCTATAATTAAACTTATCGATATAAATGTTTTCAAATTATTGGATTATTAGAAACAGCTAATTAGTTTCCAAAATGTGTTGAAAGTAATATATTACAAAATATGAATTGTACCAAAAATATAGTTACCAGAATCTTCCTCTCCCCAACTCAATTTTATGGGCTGGGGTGGGGGTAATTTTTTTTTTTCTAGTTACAAATTGCCACATTGCTACAAATGAAAGGGTCTCAAACTGAATTTGAGCAGCAGGAACGGTTGCTTGCCATGTTGGAGCAGAAGAATGGTGAAATTAAGCATCTTTTAGGTGAAATTAGAAATCTGGAGAAATTTAAGGTATGCGTAACACCTTTAAAAAATGCAGCCAAATTTTAGTTTTAATATTTTAATACTTTTAACTTGAATAGGTTTTTTTTTAATTATATAATTAATTTATAGTTTCAGTTGAGATTAACTAATATTTGAATCATTTTTTTCTTCTGGTTTCTTTTTGCTTTTCAGTGTTTTTGACTATTGCTTCCTTTAGTAGAGCCAAACTGAGCTAACTTCCCCCATATTTGTTGTAGTTATTGTAAGTTATAACTTGAAGTGCCTGTATCTTTAGTGTACAACTCAATAAGTTTCAACATACATATATCCCTTGTAATTACTACCCAGCTCATGATATAAAATATTTCTAACACTCCAAAAAGGCTCTGCCATGTCCCTTTTAAGTGAGGACTCCTACCCTCTAACTTTTTATCAGCATTACATGAGCAATACTCTTTTTTTTTTTTTTTTTTTAATTTTTTGTTTATTGCAGTAACATTGGTTTATAACATTGTAAAAATTTCAGGTGTACATCATTGTACTTCTATTTCTGCATAGATTACATCATGTTCACCACCAAAATACTAATTACAACCCATCACCACACACATGTACCCAATTATCCCTTTCACCCTCCTCCCTCCCCCCTTCCTCTCTGGTAACCACCAATCCAATCTCTGTCCCTATGTGTTTGTTTATTGTTGTTATTATCTACTACTTAATGAAGGAAATCATACGGTATTTGGCCTTCTCCCTCTGACTTATTTCACTTTGCATCATGCCCTCAATGTCCATCCATGTTGTCACAAATGGCTGGATTTCATCGTTTCTTATGGCTGAGTAGTATTCCATTGTGTATATATACCACAGCTTTTTTATCCATTCGTCCCTTGATGATGAGCAATACTCTTGAACTTCATATAAATGGAATAATTCGGTATATACTCTTTTGTTTCTGTCTTCCACTCAACACTATGTCAATAAGATTTGTTCCTCCTGTTGCGTATTATCAGCAACTGATTATTTTTCAGTACTATCCACTTCCATTTTTTAATGGATGCACAGTAGGAGCTTTGTCACCTTGTCCAACATTGTGTGGTAATTGGAATTCATAGAAGTCTTTAATAAGCTACTTTTTAGAAAAATTTTGAAATAAATTCAAAACTCCCAGAAAAATTGTAAAATTATTCTTGTATACTCTTCACCCAGATTCCCCACTTGTCAATTTTACCACATTTGCTTCATTATTTTCTGTGTCTGTCTATCCATGTGTGTATATTTTTTTCTTAAACATTTGAGAATAAGTTATAAAACAGATATCCCTTTACTCTTAAGTTGTATCTGAATGTTATTGAAGTTCTTCTCACTCTTAAGTTGTATCTGAATGTTATTGAAGTTCTTCTCTTATATAACCACAGTATGATGATCAAAATCAGGAAATCAACAGTGGTACATAGTATTAGCTAGGCTGCTTTTTATATTTTACCAATTACCGCTGTCCTTTGTAGCAAAACAAAAATACCCCAAATGCTTTCCTTTCTAGGGTCCAATCCACAATCACATATTATATTTAATCAAGTCTCTTTAGTCTCCCTTAATCTTGAATAATTCTTCAGTCTTTCTTTATCTTTCATCACCTTGACATTTTTGAACAGTACAACCAATTACTTTGTAGATTGTCCCTCGTTTTGGGTTTCTGTGACATGATTAGATTCAGGCTATGTATTTTTGACAGGAATACTGCAGGAGTATTACTATACCCTTCTTAGTGCATCACGTCAAGTGGCACATGATATCTATTTGTGCCATTACTGCTGATATTAACCTTGATTGCTTGGTTAAGATTATGCCTGCCAGGTTTCTCTACTGTCAGGTTATGATTTTTCCCTTTGTAATTAATAAATATCTCGTGAGGTGATACTTAGACCAAGTAGATGTCTGTTTCTGCTTATACTTGAACATCCATTGATGATTCTTGCCTGAAACGGGTATTGCTATGATGATTGCCAAATGGTAATTCCATCATTCTTTCTACGTTTATTAGTTAGAGTAATAATAAAGAGATGGAAAAGAAGAACCTTTCTCCTTACTTATTCATTTATTTGTATCAGTATAGCCTCATGAATTCTCATTTTATCCTGTGGATTATAATCTACTGCTTTTCTTTATTTACTCTGATACTCAAATTGTCCCAGATTTGGCCAGTAGGAGTACTTTCTTACTGTGGCACAACAAGCTCACCGGCCCCAGCCCTGGAATCAACATTTCTCCAAGGAGCACTGGTTCCTTTTAGTGGAGAATGATATTTAGAAACCAAGACCTGGGCACTAGATGGGCTTGTTGCTACCTGAATGTCATCACTTCTAGACTGTCAGCAGACAGAACTAGGAGTCTGTGTGCATACATTTAGTGTATTTATATATGTGTTGTATGCATGTTTATGAATGTTTTGTGTGTGTGTTTAGGTATGTGTAAGTAATGTGTATGTACATATATATGTATATACACACACAAAAACATAATAAAACCTTGATATCATACTTATAACTCTGATTTGCATCTAATACCACAGAGTTCCTTGCCTACCCTGTTTTCCAACAGTGAAAAACCTGGCTCTTACTGTCCTCAATATATTTGCTTATTTACTCAGTCTTAGAATATATCTAGTTTTGGAATTATCCTGCTCACTAGAGTTCAGGGTTTGTTTGCAGTTCTTTTTGTTTTTAGCCTGAGGGTATATAGGTCAAAATACTGTGTTCAAAAGTTACTTGGGTTGTGTGGGGTTTTTCTTCCCTCCTCCCTTCCCCTCTTGGATATGAGTATGTTATTCATCTGAAATATAGTTAGATTTGTTTTTTTTTTGTTTCTATGTCATTTTGTTGCCCTCCATCCATCCTTGTTGAATTTATTTTTTTTTTTCAGTATGTGAAACATTAACATAGTTCTAAAAGTCAGAACTATGAAAAAGGTATACTCAAAGAAGTGTCCCTCTTCCCGATCCCTTCTACCCTATTTCCACCCCTCCTCCCCTTACAAGGTTTACTCATGCTGTGTTTCTTTCTGCAAAAATGAACAGCTCTGTGTATGCTTTATTTCCTCCTTTTTCTTTTTTTTTGACAAAATGTAGCATAATACAGATAGTCTTTTATACTTTCCTTTTTTTCATTTAACTGTATCCTGGAAATCACTTCATCTCAAGTTTATAAATATCTTCCTAATTCTTGTTTATAGCAACAAAGAATTCTGTTGTATGGCTTCTCACCCATTCTCCTGTGTCTGGGTATTTAGATTATTTCCAGTATTTTGTAATTACATGCAGTGCTGCAAAGCACATTTTGCATATATATGCATTTTCTTATTGTTGTAGATGTATCATCAGGGATAATTCCTGCAGTGCGATTGCTAGGTCAAAAGTAAATGCATATGTAGTTTTGTTAGATATTCCCAAACCTCCTCCACATGGCTTGTACCAATTTGCATTCCCTCTAGGAATGTATCAGAGTGCTTGTTTCTCCATTACCTCACCAATGGAATGTGTTGTCTTTTTAAATTTTTGATAGATGAAAAATGGTATCTCAGTGTAGTTTTAATTCATAGTTAACTAATAATCAGTGAGGTTGAACCATGTGTTCATATGTGTATTTATTTGTGTATGTGTGTGTGTGTGTGTGTGTGTATGTATAGAGGAATTAACCCATATTTTCTACTAGTACTTGTATGGTTTCATTTTTTAAATTTAGAGACCTGATCTCTGTTAAAGTTTATTCTTATGTGTGGTGTGAGGTATGAATCTAATTTTGTCTTTTCAAATAACTAACCAGTTGTCCCAGCATCATTTATTAAAACGTTAAAACGTCAATCTTGGCCCTGGTGATTTAAGATGCCACCTGTATCACATATCAAATTTGCATATGTGCTTGAGTCCATTTCTGGATTTTCCATTCTGTTCTGTGGGTCTACTTATCTGCATGTTAGTACCACACTGTTTTAATTATAGAAGTTTTATAGTATGTTTTGTCTGGTAGGAGGACTCTTCCCCCACCATAGCTATTCTTTCTCAGTGCTTTCCTGACTGTTCTTGTATGTTTGTTTTTCTCTATGAATATCTTGTCTAGTTCCAAAAAAAGCTTGTTGGTATTTTTATTAGGGTTATATTAAATTTATAAATTAACTTAGGGAGCACAGATATCTTCTCACTAACTAAAGAGCTAATTAAAATTTATAAATGATGAATTTTTGTAAATATTAGTAACCTCTTGGGTATTCTAAATTGTAGCCGTTAATGTATCATAAAATTTTAAGTTTGTGTAACTTTCTTTCCTTATAAGACCTGTTGAAAGGACTGCAATTTTGGTTAAATTTGCAGTGCATCAATTGGCAGGCGTATGTGGCCCACCAGTGGGTTCAGCACTATACTTTGAAAATTATGGCTTTAAATCGGGGTTTTAACCTGCAGTCTGTGAAATTGTTTACAGGTTTTAAGCAGATTTACATTTTTTCCCCCTAGAGAAATTGTACAGATATTCTGTACAGTTAAGTTTAAGGATCTCCACTCTTTCATATTTTTCTAATTTATGGCTTTGGCATAAAGTCCAGAATTAAACCCAGTAAGTATTTATTTCTTCCATTTTAAAAGCCAAGAGAGGGAAACCAGAGGATACAGGTATAGTTAGGAGCAGAAGCTTTGGCGACCAATCTGGGTTCAGATTCTCTCTTCTCAGTTTACTTGCCTGTGGCATCTTGAACCAGTTCCTTCACCTGTAAGAGAGGAATGCTCATTCTTGTACCTACTTCAGAAGGTAAAAGAGTTAAGTGGATAGTGCTAAGCACAGTGCTGGCCATATGATAAACATTCAGTAAGTGATAGCTGTTATTGTTATTGATAAACATATGCTAATCTAATTTGTTATGTATTTTAAGTAATAAGAATTGTTTTCTTTAGAGTTTATATGAAAGTATGGAATCTAAGTCTTCAGCCAACTCTGGTGCTCTGGAAGATAACACCTATTATACAGATTTACTTCAGATAAAGCTTGACAACTTAAAGTAAGTGTTGGGTGGATGGAAAGATGGAGACTCTTTTGACTTGTTTTATAATAAGTGGTATTAGTGACTATAAATTTTTCTTTTAAAATTGCCAAAAGAAAATTCCAGAAAAGCAAAGCAACAAAAATATCTTTGTGCAGCAAATGAGATTTATTCAAGATACCATTAGTGCTGATTATTGAAGAAAAAATACTTTCAATGAGTAATTGTGTTTATTTCTTTGTGTTTAGCTTCTTAGATTGGTAAGTGAAAAGACTTTTAATGTAGAAAATGTTCTTATAATCTAAATTTTTCAAGAATAAATATCACATAATTTAAAACTTAAAGGAATTTATTTACACATGCATAAATGTGGGAAGAATAGTTTCCCCTTTTGTCCATTTCCTTTGAAGAAGGCATGAGATTTCTTTTATTTGAAAGTGCTATTGATAAGGCTTATTTTGTTTATTGTTTGTTACTAAAACCCCCAAGGAAATGTATTTTAAACTAAGAGTTCAAATTTATAATAAAAGATTTGCACTAACAACTACACTTATATGTTATTTTTAATATTCTTTGGTTCTCCTTTTTCATTAATATAGCAAAGAAAATGAAAGCACTAAAGGTGAACTGTCCATCCAGCGAATGAAAGCATTATTTGAGAGCCAGCGGGCCCTGGATATTGAGCGAAAACTTTTTGCAAATGAAAGATGCCTCCAGCTTTCCCAAAGTGAAAATATGAAACTAAGAGCTAAACTAGATGAGTTAAAACTGAAATATGAACCTGAAGGTATGTATGTCTTTTAATCATGGGAAACTGAGAAATCATATCAAAATTTTTTCTACTACAGCTTTGTGCAAATCCTATTATTACAAACTAATTTGTGGTTATGTATCTGTATTTAATAAAACAAATTTACTGCTACAAAATGTGTAGGAAAATTCAAAGAGAACTGGGCACTGGGTGTGCGTGAATGTGATAGGTATTCTTTTTGGATATCTGTATAGTAGAACCTTGATATTTGATACTTTTCCATGTAAGGTTGCAGCATCTTATGTAATACCAAAGAGTTCAGTTTTGTTGAGGCAACTGATTTTTGGGAGCTATATTAATTAATACTGTTTATAGAAAACCTAAAATAATGAAGACTTAAACAAGATAGGTATTTATTCATCCCCCTGATAAGAATCTGGAGGAGGCGTTCCAGGACTGGTCAGTGTCAGGATCTAGGCTTCATTTGTGCTGTTCGTCAGCATACATCTCCTTGAGCCAAGTTTAGTAATGTGGCCTCACCTACCTGTAAAGAAAGCTGAGAAATGTAGTCTTGATTCTCATGGGCCATGTTCCCAGCTAAATCCTGGAGATTCTGTTATTAAGGAAGAATAGTAGGGCAGGTATTAGAGGACAACTAGCAAGTCTAATCACTGAGATAGAAAATAACCTAACCATACAGGCTGCTTATTCACTAAAAAGAGTGATTTTGCCGTATGTAAATTAAAAAGTAAAAAGCCAAAAGTAAAAAGGTCTAAGAATCTGATGGTTCTTAGACCAAAAAAAGTGTTGTTACATATTTTAGGTTATAGATTTTCCGCCAGTTTTTGCCCCTGCACTGTTCACATGTCTAAGACTCTTCATTATTGCCTCAGTGACTCCAAAGTGATACTCAGTGATAGTGGGGAGGTTGTTAGCAATAGTAAGAATTTTTTTATAGTTTAGAAAGGCAGCTTTTGGGGCTGACTTCATGGCCTAGTGGTTAAGTTCAGCACACTCCGCTTCGGTGGCCTGGGTTTGTGGGTTTGGTTCCCAGGCACGAACCTATACCACTCGTCGGCGGCCATGCTGTGGCGGTGACCCACATATAAAATAGAGGAGGATGGGCACAGATGTTAGCTCAGGGCGAATCTTCCTCAAGCAAAAATGAAGATTGGCAACAGGTGTTAGCTCAGGGTGAATCCTTCTCAGCAAAAAAAAAGGCTTCTCTTTCTCTTTCTTTTTCTCTTCCCTGATTCTCATAGCCTTTCCTGATTAAGAATTGTCCTTGATGAATTTCAAAGGTCTGTTGGACTGAAGACAGCAAAGAGACAGGAAATGTAGTGAATCTACATGATGTGGGTTTCAAAGGAGTAGTGCAAGGGAAAGGGAAAATAATGATTTAAAAACAACAGTGTAGAGCAGGAACACCAATCTCCTGTCCAACCATGATTTCTCCAACTTCACTAACATTTTGATTTTGAAAATAAAAAACACATAGGTATGGGGATAGGGAAAAGGTATTAGAGCAATTTATTCAGTGACTGGGTATATGGACCTGCACAGGGGGTAGAAGACTATTGCAGTAGTATGTGGTGAGGCCTAATACGGTTTGAACTGGGGAGGTATCCATGGTAGAAGTACTCAGATTTTGAGTATATTTTGAGGGTGAGGCTAATAGGCACAAATTACCATATTCAGAGAATTTGACCTGTTCTTTTCATTTAACCTGTAAAACACACAATATTGAGTGAAGTGGGTGGGTGCTTTTAATCCCAATTTTACAGATAAAGAAAATAAAGCTCAGAGAGGTTAAGCACTTCTCCAAGGTCACCCAGCTGCAAAGTGCTAGTACTAGGATTTGTACCTGGATTTCTTGACTCTTAGCCACCTCATCCCTCATCTCCACGCTGAGATCTTATGAAGCCCTGTGCAACTTTTCACAATACCAGAAGAGAACATTTAAGTGTTCATTCCTAGAGCCAAATATATTGAGTTCACAAGGAAAAATTTATAACCAGATAACTTTTAAAAGATATAGTTAATGGAGTCCATGAAAAAGAAAGGCTAAAAGACAGAAATGGTATATTTCAATAAGGAGATGAGTGGGTTTTAAAAGAATGGGAAAAGGGAAAGGAAAAAATTCTATAACTATTTCCTCTTTATGTTGCTTTTCTTCTTTGATTTATGGACTGGATATATATTTAATGGTTTTTATTCTCAGAGAAAATTGAAGTGCCTGTACTCAAAAAGAGACGTGAGGTACTGCCTGTGGATTTAACCACCCCTAACGATGTATATGCCAACAGTGCTGTTGGGGAAGAAGTTTATAGATTAGCACCTCAGAAAGAGGAGGCACAGCCCTGTCCAAATAATTTAGAAGATAACAACTTGCAGTTAGAAAAGACGGCTTCTGAAAACACACCAGGAGATATTCTTTCTCCTCACAAAAATCTGCCCATGGATATTCTGCCAACAAAGGAAAAGAAATGTGTGAAACTTATAGGAGTGCCAGCTGACTCTGAAGCCTTAAGTGAAAGAAGTGGAAACACCCCTAACTCTCCCAGGTCAGTGTCCTCTTTTCTTCAAGGCAACCAGCAGACCTGTCCATCTCTTCTCTATCGCTGCATGAACTGTGCTATCTGTTTCTTTATCTATTTTATTAGTATTGCATGCAGTATACTTCCCCAATTTCATCTGCCTACCTTCAACTTTTCTAAAACTTTAAGAAAGACTAAAATGATTGCAAGGGGAAAGGACTCTTGAATAAGGGAATTATTTTAAAAAGTTACACTTTCTGTTTCATGAAACAGAAATATCACAGTCTAGTACATCTCTGAATGTTTTGATTTGAATAAATGTACTGTTTCTTTTTTTCCTGGTTCAAGAGTGGCCATGAAAGAAAAATTAACTTGCCTCCTAAAAGGGCTTTCCAATAGTCTAAGAAATTTCAACCTTCTAGAAAACTGTTAGATGAAATTTTTTATGGCTTTTAAAATTGTTTATCCTAAGCCTTCAAGAATGGGCTTTGATACCTATTTTGACATTTTAAAATATCAAAGGTAATTTATTTTCATTTTACACCAAAACTTTAAAGCCTCTAGTTTCTGCATATTTGATTTTGTTTTGTTTGTAAAGACGAAGTTTTAGACATGTATGTCTGTCAGAATTAATGTTTTAAGGGCCTTATCCTTTAAAAAAATTAAAAAAATAGAGGCCAGAATGTAAGTGAAAGTGAGTGGAAGGAAAGGTAGGTAACAGTGGCTGAGACTAAAGTGGAATAAGAAACAGGTTCTGGGTATGTACAGCAGGACCAAGAGTGGGAGAAAAAGAAATGAATGAGGAACATGGAGAAGGTAAGAATAAGATGATAAAAGATGAAGGATGTCTTTATTGAACAGAATGATAGATGCATTTAAAGTAAGTATCTTTAGACATTTCACATATTGATGTGAAAACAGTTAGCTTGGATTGTCTGCTGTGAAAGGAGATCTTTAAGGTGCTGCTAGGGCTTCATCAGTCTTAGATGGAGGGGTACAGAATAAGACATTTTACTAGTGTGCATTTGAGCTGAAATAGTAAGACATAGCCCACCTTATGTAAAAGGGCTTTCTTGTGTGTTTTATCTGATTTCTCTTTAAGTCTTCAGTGCTACTAAGTGTAGTACTCAACAGTGAAAGCATTTCAACAATGTTAGCTGCTATTATTATTATTAAGAGGAGTAATTTATTACTCCATTCCTTGAATTTTTATGTAATAACATTATAACCTATAAGTCACATAAAATAAAAGCTTGATATTCTCAAGGCAAAAGTAACTTGAAATGAATGATATCTGACGCACACACATGGTTCCGAGTATTCTGAAAGGAGTTCAACAGGTTATGCTTGTATATATGTGATTCATTGTGTAAGTGTGCTTGACCATTGTATATTTCTGGAGGTGGATTTCCAGAATTGATCAGTGCAAACCTTGCTATCTGTGTTGTCTTCACTTCTTTTTCTGCCTTTTTTTGCTTGATAAAAATTACTTAAGCAAATGAATGTAGCTAATTGTTTGACTCAAATTAAGTAGCATGTTGGAATTTTTTTGTCTTGCTAGTTAAACAAAAACAAATAAAATACCACAAAACATTTGTTTTTGTGTGTGTGTGAGTCCATCTGCTAACTTAAGATGTTTCCAACCTTTTGCTCTCTGCATGATTAACTTAGACACACAATCTATTATAATATTGTCACAATAAATATGGGCGTTATTGGGAACTTCACTATGCATGCTTTATAAATTTAATTGATGCTCTTGCAATAAAGTATCTTTATAGGCCTTTTAAAATATCTCTGCACTGTTTATTTTTTTAAATTATTCTGTTATTTGAAACTCAATTTGAGTTTGTTTTTGTTTTTTGAGACAAATAGACATCTTTTCATGCAGTCCAGGATTCCCTGTTATTTTTGTCTTGTGTTTGCCTTTTGTATGTCATGTTAACATTAAAATAGTGCTTTAGCATTTTAATTTTTTTATTAGATGTGCTTATCATGATAGGCACCCTCATTATATTTTAATTCTTTAGGCTTTGTCATGACTTTTTATCAACCTTAAAGATATTTCTTTAGACATTTGCAAAATTAAGTCTTTTGATTTAAAAAGATTGTTTTAGAGAGGCACTGACTTACTTTTGTTAATGGTATTGGAGTCAACTATAATTTTTTTCATCATACACATAAAAAAAAATTACTGTGTCTCATTAGAGGCCCATTATATTTAGAGGATTGTTTCTTCTTTAATTTTTCTTAACCACATTTGAATTCAGAGTGGATGCTTTAATGCCTGTAGGTTAGCTGCTGAATCAAGGCTTCAAACAGAAGTTAAAGAAGGGAAAGAAACTGCAAGCAAATTGGAAAAGGAAACTTGTAAGAAATCACACCCAATTCTATACGTGTCCTCCAAATCAACTCCAGAGACCCAGTGCCCTCAGCAGTAAAGACTTTTCTTTAATGAGAGTAAGGTGCTGCTTGCCCAAAAGTGGACCTTAGTTAAGATTGTCTTGATCTGTAGTATACCACCTTGTAGGTTATTTGTTTCTACTCATTGTGCCAGGCCTTGGCATTTTCATGCTTCTTGGACCAAATGTTCAAAATTTGGTTGGGATTCTAACCAGGAGAGTTCCTTAAGGGATGACTCTTCATGGAGCTTCTGTGAATCATAGTGAATAAACTATTAACTGAAGGAAAGTGTTATTATAAATCTATTTGTTGCCTAAGTGATATTTTTAAAGTGATATTAACACATACCTTCAGAGCCGTATATTTGAAAAGAGAACACTGAAATCATTAACTTATATTTTCCTAGTGCTTTTTTATGGATGTAGTTTTTCACTATGTTGTAAAAATAGAAAACTTGTTTCAAAACTATATATTGTAACTGGATTTTGTCAGTGTTTAAGCACCTGTGTTCATCTTTGTATTCATATACATGATTTAAATTTTATGTCTCAAGCATATGAAGAAGTAATTTTGAAATTTAAAATAAAACTGCAATAATTTATCCCCTTTCTATTTTCTTACTCTGTATAGATAATAGGATATTATCAAAGGGAATAAAGGAAGAAAAAAGAAACTTCAGGGATTCTTAATTCCCTGGTACATAAAATTTTTGTGTATATATATAACTTATCTATATAATTTTATATATACACACACACATAATATATATTTTTAATTCTAAACTTTCCAAATAAAGACATTTTTCCCTTTAAATGATTATAGCCTGGTCTGTAACTTAATTTCATATATACTATAGGGGTTGTATTAGCCTATATATATATAGAGACAGAGAGAGATTTATTTTAAGGAATTGACTTATGTGAATATGGAGGCTGGCAAGTCCAAAATCTGCAGGGTGGGTTGGCAGGCTGGATACTCAGGAAGATCCAATGTTGTAGTTCAAGTCTGAAGGTTGTCTGCTACAGAATTCTCCATTGCTCAGGAGGAGATCAGTTTTTTCTTCTATTCAGGGCTTCAACTAGTTGCATGCATTGTACCATGCACATTATGGAAGGAAATCTGCTTTACTCAGAAGTCCACAGATTTAAATGTTAATCTCATCCAAAAAACAGTCTCACAGAAACATCCAGATTAATGCTTGAATACATATCTAGGCTCCGTGGCCCAGCCAGGATGACACATACAAATAACCATCACAGTGGGTTAATTAGATAAGTCTGTTGAGATATATTAGGTAAAAGGAAATTGCCTCTCACTTGTAAATAAATCAAATAAACTTTTAATTTGCTGCAAAAGGCATACTCTAAGGAAATTAGAAATTTCACATTAAATAATATCTTGCAAAAAGAAGTAGCTGAAGGAACTAGGGAACAAGTAATTTTAACCTGAGGATAACAACAAATGAATAACCATATTCATTGCATATTATAGAATGTAGATTGAGTTTTTGCTATGAACTATATGCTAGGGGTACAAAAATAAGCCTCCAGAGCTCACAGTTTAATAGAGCCACATAGGCAAGTAGTGGTAGTGGTGGTATAACTAGTAATAGTAATATCTAACATTTGAATTGATCTAATGTGCCAAGCACTCTTTTAAGGCCTCTCATGTATTATCACATTTAACCATCCCAACATCTTTGTGAGCTAAGTATTATACTTACTTATCCTCATTTTACAGATGAGGAAGCCAAGGCCTCAGAGAGGTTAAGTTACTTGTCCAAGAGCATAAGTGTTAGTAAATGATGAAAAAAATTAAAGAATGGTAGAAGTAGTAATCGAGTGTAAAAAATGCTAGAGGAACAGAAAGAAACAAGAAACTGCCTGGGGGCTTTTTATATTTTTGTCATCTCTAAGCTGAGATTGCCTCAGAGGTTTCCTAAGGCAAGGAAAGAATAGCATTACAAGTAGAAGAAATAGCTATTCAAAAAATAAAAGCATGGAACAGCATCTCTAATTCAGCAAACTGAAGACTTCAAAATGGCTGAACCTGTGGGGCTTGTGAAAAGCAGTAACAGTAAATTGAATCGGAAGAGATAGCTAAGAGCAAAATCATGAAAAGCTTGAGTTAGGGAAGTCCATTTTACAAACAAAAACTTACACAGACCTATAAAGAAATTAAGGAACTTGATTGAAGGTTGAAGAATAGGGATGCATGAGAACCTTAACCATCTAGCTTCTGCCTTATCACCCTTGGGAACTGAGGCAATTCTATTGAGTCTTTTAGGAATATATTTTGAAAAATCACCACTGTGGATGATGGGAAGCAACTGAATAATACAAGCAAAGCAATTACTGAATAAATTTAAAAGGTTGAAAAATCATTCAATTTATTTTTGGTAAAAACACTCTAGAGGCATAATGGAAAATGAATTTAGAAAAAGATAGGAATGGAGGCAGAAAAGACTAGTTTGGCCATTTGATAGTCCAGGCAGGAAATATAGGTGTAAACTGAGGCAGTGGCAGTGGGAATGTAGAGTGGTCATTGGATTTAAGATACTGTTTAGAGAAGCAAAGTGGTCAAGAGTTGTTGGCAAAATAGGATGTGGGACTCTGGGGGAAAGGTACATTTGCTATATGTGGATAAATGGTGGTAACAGAAAATAGGAGTGGGAAGTATTTCACTTTTGATGAATACTTTTATTCAGGTATCTGTGGGGTGTCCATACTGGGGGCAAGGGATGTGTTCATGTATCTTTCTATAATCAAAAGTAATGTCTATCAAATCTTTATTTTTATAAGGAAAATGTAAGACCTATGTAACTGTATTCTAGTAGGCACTTTTTTTTCCTCATCATTATTCAAAAAGTGGCCTTGAGGCTGGCTCGGTGGTGTAGTGGTTAAGTTTGCATGCTCTGCTTCGGTGGCCCAGGGTTCACAGGTTCAGATCCCAGGCATGGCCATACACACTGCTTATCAAGCCGTGCTGTGGCAGGCGTCCCACATATAAACGAGGCAGATGGCCATGAATGTTAGCCCAGTGCCAGTCTTCCTCAGCAAAAAAAGGAGGATTGGCAACAGATGTTAGCTCAGGGCTAATCTTCCTCACACATACACACACAAAAAAGTGGCGTTGTGGTCAAATGTTCATAATCATAGCCTTGATTTATTCAGTTTCCACTTAGACATAATGAGCCATGTGTATGGGCCTAGAACAAAGATGGCAAAATAATTATGTTTTGACTCCCCAAATAAGGTATTGGTGGAAAGGAGCTGATGTTTATTGATTTGCTGGGTACTTTACCTATGTTATATCTCTTACTACTACATAATTTAGCATAATAGTTAATATTATAGCATCTATAGTTAGACTTTCTGAACTCAAATCTCAACTTCTCCATATAAATGTTAGACCTGGGCAAATTTACGACTCTGGAAGTAGTAATGACTCCATGAATTAGGTACTGCTTTTTTAGTATGTTTTTTATGATTATGTAAAATATGTGGGTCCAAAGTAAAATCTACAAAACAAGGTGTATTTGAAGAAATCTAGCTTCTATCTCTGTTTCCTCCTCCCACTAAGAACCATTTAAGTTTTATGAGGTTTTTTTCCTTTACATAGCAGATATAGATAGGTAGGGAGGTAGGTAGATAGAATCTTCATCCTCTTTCTTGGATAAAAGTTAGAATACTGAGTGATATCAGAGAAAAATTGTGGATAGGAAACACCCAAAGCCTGTCCCTCCACAAAATCAGCCAATAAACTGGCAAGGACTGTCAGAATCAATTTTATTGGACTCTGGAAACTAATCAAGGGTTTACAGCAACCAAGTGAACAGTTAATTAAGGAAAATCAGCTTAGTCTTGGCATTTCAGGAAATCTCTGATGAATCACTAGCTGACCACTAAGCTAATGGAATGGAGATTTCAGTGGCTACACACAACGAATAACACAGACTTTACAAAATTAATACAAAGAAGTCATTAAAAAATTACAGCAACAACTACAACAAGCAGCAACAACAAACTCTGGGGAGGGAGTAGAATCTGATTTCTAGCATTGTCACATTATAATACTCAAAATGTCCAATTTTCAACAAAAATTACAAGGCTTGCTAGAAACAAGAATGTGTGACTCATACATAGGAAAAAAGGAATTAATAAACTGTCCAGGAGGAAGACCATACATTGGACTTACTAGACAAAAACTTTAAATCAACAATTTTAAATATGTTCAAAGAGTTAATGGAAACCATGGACAAAGTCCTAAAGGAAACCTTGAGAACAATGCCAAATAGAGGTTATCAACAAAGAGATAGAAATTATTAAAAGGAACCTGATAGAGACTCTGGAGTTGAAGAGTACAATAACAAATGAGAAAATGGAGAGGCTCAACAGCAGATTTGAGCAGGTAGAAGAATCAGTGAACTTGACTAACCAATTGAGATTATTCAGGCTGAAAAACAGGAAGAGAAAAGAATGAAAAGAAAAAAATGAACAAAGCCTAAGAGACCTATGGGACACTCTCAAGCAGAGCAACATATGCATAATAGGAATCCCAGAAAGAAGAGAAAGGGGCAAAAAGTATATTTGAAGAAATAATAGCTAAAAAATCCCCAAATTTGGTGACAGACATTAGTATATGAATGAGTGAAAGATAGCCTCTTTGTACTGCTCCTAGTTGGTTTATTTCTGCCTTACAGGCTGAGACCCATTAGCTCAAAAGCCCACCAGTGCCAAAGTCAAATTTGTACACATCCAATTATTTTAAAAATAGCCGACACAAGCAGATTCTTAACCATTTAGAGCTTGCCTGCTTTGCATACTTTGCAAAATTGATCACATTACCTATTGCGTAATAAGAGAGGGCCTTGTGGTTATAAGGTCCTAAGCTGCTACTGCTCTTTGGAGTTCTCTGACTCAGAGACTCCCACTGTGTTGCTGAGCAACATCACCTAGACATGTAAGCCCTCTTTCCAGTTCCCTTCTTTTCCAGGAGTTCCCTTTCTTTCCCCTTCTGGAGACCCCTGCCCTGTAGCCTCTGGATAGTCTTATGCTATGAAGGACTTCCTGTTTCAGGCAACTCAGTCCAAGTGCCACCTAATAAAGCTTATTGTGTGTTACTGCTTCTCATAGTCATATCTTTTTCCTTGATAGCATCCAAATCCCTTGAACCCCCTACAGACATGAATTTACACATCTGAGGACATTATATAATGGTAAAAGGGTCAATCCATCAAGAAAGTGGAACAATTGTAAACATATGTGCACCTAACAAGAGAGCCCCAAGATATCTGAAGTAAAAACTGAAAGAATTGAGGGGAGAAATAGACAATTCAACATTAATAGTTGGAGACTTCAGCATCCTCTTTCAATAATAGAAAGAACTAAGTATAAACAAGGAAATAGAAGACTTGAATAATGCTAGAGAACCAAATAGAACTGACAGACATATATAAAACACTCCATCCAACAATAGCAGAATACACATTCTTCCTAAGTACACAAGAAACATTCTGCAAGATAGACCATATGTTAGGCCACAAATAAATTCTCAATAAATTTAAACAGTTGAAGTCACATGAAGTATCTTCTCTGACCA